TCCCGCATGCCGCCGATCGAGGCCACGCTGTCGAGGCCAAGCTCCAAAAAGTCCGGGCAGGGCCCCCCGGAAGCCCCGAGAGGTCCCCAAGACGCCGCCAGAGGATCCCGCAAGGACCTCGTCCTCGTGCTTGCCGTCCTCGTCGTGGTCGTCGTCGCCGTCGCTCGTCGTCGCCGTCATCGTCGCCGCCGTCGTCGTCGTCGTCGTCGCCGTCGCCGTCGCCGTCGTCGCCGCCGCCGGGCCGAGGGGGGGCCACCCCCCGTGGCGGCCTGCGCTGGCCGACCCCCGAGCGCCCCCCCCCGCGGCCAACAGCCGGCGCGCTCGGGGACCGCCGGGCGGCGGGTGCCGCGCGCAGGGCGCCTCCGCGCGAAGGCAACGCACCCCACGCATTGAGAAAAATCGACGTCTTGAAAAAGAAAAAAGACGGAGATCCAACGTCCTGAAAAAAGAAAGACGGAGATCCAATGTGTGGAAACAAAAAAAGACGACGGTCCAACGTACTGGAAAAAGAAAGACGGAGGTGTTTCTCCATTGTCGGCCCCTGGGGGTCCTCGCCGGGCCCCGGGGCTGTGAAACAACGGCTCGGGAGGAGAAGAGGGTCCTGGGGGATGGGTCGAGACTTCCGGGACCGCGCATTGAAAGAATCACGGCATCGGTTCTCTGGGTTCGCCGCCATTGCGACCACTTGCGCGCCTAGTGTCGCGCAAAGTGGACGCGATGCGTCCCCCATCGCGTGGCGCCAGCGGGCGGTGTTGGGACCATGTGGGCGCTCTTCGGCGCTGTGGAGCACAGTTGGGCGCAGTGCGCGCGCTGTTGGGCGCTACTTGGTGCGATTCGCCGATGTACATGCAACGCAAGACGAGCGGATACTTCCATGACTCATCGGCGACTACAATGGGTGCGGTTTGCGAAGGGTGCGGTTTGCCTCCCGTCATATCTGCACCTCCCGCCCCCGGGAAACGGGTGACACTGTCACTCAATGCGACCAAATCACATGACACTGTCGCTCCTTCTAGCACAGTGGAGCACACATCGAGGATGACAGTGTCGCTCGAAACGACGACAACTATGCCATTGTCTCTCACAAAGGCCCTAGAAAGGCCGCCACAAAGCAACTCGCAAACCGCACCCCGGCGTAACCGCACCGATTGCAGTCGCCGAACTTAGTATCTAACCACCGCTGGCTGGTCGAGGTCGGCATGGGTGGGGGGCGCCAAAGGGCCATTCACTGTTCACCAGTCGCAGTTGTCTCATCTTCACCCACGAAGCAAAACATATCCAAGGTCACGGGGCCTTCCTCCCAAATTTGGCCCAAAGTCGTCGAATTTTCGATCGGAAACACACATCGAACAAAAAATGATACGAAAACCATACACGTTGGGAAACGACAACCTAAAAAGCTGGACCACCGCTGGAACGAAACAAAAGCCAAACCAGAACGAAACGGAAACGACACTGGAACGACACCGGGACGAAACCGGAACGGAACCAAAAGGAAACCACCGCGCCCCATTTCTGATAAGAGTAAGCCTGGCCCTAACATACAAAGGCAGCGCAAAACAAACAAGAGCAACAGCAACGAAAGTACGATTTTTTGAGGACTCCGAGACGTGAGACCTGGCTCGGGTGGGCCCCCCGGCAGGCCCCGACAAAAAACTGCCCCGCGCGGGCGCTCGCAGAAGCCGGGGACGCTCGACGAACTCTTTGCCTGGATGCCTCCCGAAGACGAGCGCGAGACCTCTGAGAGAAGCGGGCCGCCCGCGCGGCGGGGCCTCGAACAGCAGCCCGCGCAGGGTGACCGGCGAGGCGCCCGGCCTCCGCGCGGGCGCGCTCGCTCCTTCGCCCTCAGCCCGCCGCCGCCCCTCGCCGTCCTCGGCAGCGACGCCGCCCGTGGTTGCGGCCGTGGCCGCCGCCGCCGTCGCCGCCGCCGTCGCCGCCGCGCTCGTCCTCCTCCTCCTTCACCTCCGCTTCCGCTTCCTCCTCCCCCTCCTGGCGCGCGTCCTCACGCACCTCCGCAAGCTGAAACGCCGCCCTGATCTGGGGGGGGCGGAATTCACCTGGGCGTCGGCAAGAGGCATACCTAACTGCGCAAGATAAACATATGGAACGTGTGCGAAAACAGAGAAGCGGGGGCAAGAAGAAACCGAGACCGAGGGGACCGAGACGGGCGATCTGACAGAATGGCAGAACCTTGCCAAGGATACGGGAAAAGATAGCAGGGAAAATAACACAGGACAGATAATGGGGGATGACATCGCGCGCCCACGCGCTGCATTTGACGATACATCCGCAGCTGGCCTCCGGGAAACACGCTTCTGAAGCACAGTGGCCACTCAAAGTTTTCAGACAAGCTGATGCGAGCGCGGGGGGCATTGTAGGCCATTCGATGATCAGAATCAGATGCGAATGACCAGGGGGCCACTTGCTCAGACGCACTGTAAACGTCTGGTGCAAGGCCTCTGGGAACAGACTCTCAGCCAAGGAACTAGCGAGCATTCGC